AAAATATATTAAAAAAATAACTAGAAGAGAGAAACTAAAAGGTTTACATCACAAAGAAAGGCTAACAGTTAGTTTAAGGATATGGAAATGCTAATTACTCTAATTTGACCATGACTTAACTGTGTTTGTATATCAAATTGTCAGCCTGTTCTCCATTAATAAATACAGTTATGAGTTAACTAAAAATAAATAAAATATAGCACAATGCATATCCAAAACCTAGGGATTTATACTGTGTAAACTCTATGTAAAGCAATTTCTTACTTTGAAAATTAGCTATCATCTGGACTGAGTGGAGAAAGGTAATTTAGAGGAGACTGCTTTTTTTTCATCTCCCAAAGAACTGTTATTAAAAGAAGCTCTCTTCTGTTTTCCTCCTCTAATAACTGTTCCCTTTGCATGCTGACACCCTCCTCCTCCTCCCCCATGTCACCACATGGCCCCCGGCTTCTTACTGCCTCATCTGTTTCCCTGGGAGCAACATCCCTTCCTATTTACCCCTCATCCTTCTTTGGGTTCCAGAATCTGGGCCATGTGCCAGCTGACACTGTATTTTTAGCTCAGTGTTACAAAGCTACAGGAATTGGAATTTCCACCAAACACACCAGCAAACTGCTGTGGACTTAGCTGTTGCTGAGGAGCAGGGTGCTTGTATAGGGGACAACTGTGTGATAGGCAACAGCTTTTGTGGTTGGTGATGGGTTTCCCCTATCAGAGAAGGAACAGTTGGTGGATGATGCTCTCCTTTTCCTGGTCACTGTATCTCCTGGAGGATCTGCTACCCTGTCCGGGGCGCCTGAAACATGGGGACTTCTATTCACCTGGGTCTTTGGTGGTAATTGGAAGTGAAATATGAGAACTTCCAATGCAGATGTTCCTGTGGATCCCTTCCAATTTAGGTTTCACATTTCCATGAACTCAGTAGAAAAGATAGAATGGCCTGTTTGAACTTCCTATAAGTCTGTTGATGTTACTATTATTAAAAAAATATTTTATTGGGGCTGGAGAGGTGAGTCAGTGGTTAAGAGCATTGGCTACTCTTGTAGAGGACCCAGGTTCTTATCCCAGCACCCACATGGTGACTAACAACCATCCATAACTCCAGTTCCAGGGGATCTGATACCCTCTTCTGACCTCCACAGGCATTGCATGACACAGGTACACTTATATACATGCAGGCCATAACACACTCATACACATAAAATAAAAATAAATAAATTAGTATGTATTGCCTGCATGCATGTAAGTGCACCTATGTTGTGCAATGCTCATGGAGGCCAGAAGAGGGGGTTGGATTTTCCTGGAACTGGAGTTACAGACAGTTGTTAGCTGCCATGTGGGTTCTGGGAATCAAACCTAGGTCCTCTGCAAGAGCAACCAGTGCTTTTAACCACTGAGGCATCTCTCCAGCCCAATGCTGTTATTATTTTTAATCTTCAGAAAAGATGCAAGTTGTCAGGGGCAGGTTAAAGAACTTAATGTTTTTGATTTTCAGCCAAACTAAGAACAAATGGGAGGGAATCACTTTAACTAGGTTGTCATTAACAACAGATCTAGAGTCCAGGGCTATAGTAAATTCTGGGACTAATAAAGTCTAAAGTCTAAGACACAGGACAAGTGTATCACCATCTATTCTATCAGGGTTAGATCTGGGTGTTATGTGGGAAGACTGCAGAGCATTAAGAGAGGTCAGGGGGTTCTGGAGAGATGGCTCAGTGGTTAAGAGCACTGGCTACTCTTGCAGAGGACCCACATACAGTTCCCAGCACCCACATGGTGGTTAACAACTATCCTTAGCTCCAGTTCTAGGGGCCCCCATACCCTCTTCTCACCTCCGAAGGCATTGCATGCATGAGGTGGATGCAACCAAAATGCTCATACACATAAAATATAAATAAATACAATTAATTAAATAAATAAAAAAAGATGTCAGGTACTGGACATGGTGGTTTGTGCCTTTAATCCCTTTAACTCAAGCAGGCAGAAGCAGATGGATCTCAAGACCTGCCTGATTTCTGATTTACATACTGAGTTCCAGGCTAGCTGGGGCTACTTAGAGGAGGACCCCGTCCAAAAAAAAAAAAAAAAAAAAAGGAAGAAAGAAAGAAAACATGAAGAAGAAAGTTGAGAGAGGTCAAGGGAGAATGGAGAATGGGATGGTTACATGGAGGATTTTTGATTTTTGCTCTGTTTTTTGAACACAGAGGAATCTACCCACCTGTGGAAGAATCCAGTGAAGAATGATTACAGTGTTGACAGACCAGCTTTAGGGTTTGGGAGCATCTATCTTCCAGGTTGTTCTCCCCTCCTTTATGGGACCTAATTATCTATCTTTTTAGGGTGCGAATTCTCATCATTAGTATGTCTAGCATTGAAGAGTCCATTTAGGAATCCTTTTCTAGGGCTGGGGATGTAGCTCAGTGGTAATAGTGCTTGCCTAGCATGTGTGAGGTCCTGGGTTCAACCCCAAGTATGGGAGGGACTTGAATTTGGAATAATCACTTTAATTCTGTTTTTAAAAAAGAAAAGCTGGGTGTGGTGGTGCATGCTTATAATCCTGACACATGGGAAACTGAGGTCAGCATGTCTCTCCAAAAATAATCTATTTCTATGCTTACCCTACCCTTTCCAGAACCTTCCCCACATAGGAGCAAAAAGAACATTCTGAAATGTAAATTGTATTATCCTCTTCTGTACTTAAACTGTTGAAGCATCAAGATGACCATTGTATTTAGAATGAAATCAAATTCCTAACTGTGACTTCTGAAGCCAAAAGGAGTTTGATCCTTAGCACTCTTTATAGGTTAAAGGTCCCACTCCCGACCTTCAGCCAACATGGCAGGCTCTTATCAATGTCAAGGCCTTGGCACAATTTCCTCTCCTTAAAATATTTCCCTGCTTAATTTTATTTTTATTATTGAGTTTGTTCTTAGACTGTTTCGTACATATATAATGCATTCTGATTACTGTCTCTCCCTGCCTCTCCTCTCCTTCTCATCACTAACAGCATGAAGAGTTCTCTTAGTGTTGTGAGACATCTTGACAAAGTTCACAAATGCTTGAAAAAGTTCCTGCAAGCTGGGTGTGGTGGCGCATGCCTTTAATCCCAGCACTCAGAGGCAGAGGCAGGTGGATCTCTGAGAGTTCAAGGCCAGCCTGGTCTACTTAGCAAGTTCCAGACCAGCTGGGGCTATAAGGAGGACCCTTTTTTTTTGGTCTCAAAATGACAAAAAAAAAGTTCCTACATAATTAAAACATAAATTAGTGCATTCACATAGGGGGCAGATTAGTTTCATTAGGTGGTTGCTTCTGAATGTTTATCACTGGTGACTGGGCATGGAAAGCATTCTTTTTTTGTTTTTTTTCCTGCGATTTGATGGTCTTGCTGTTGCCCAGGCTGGCCTTGCACTTGGGCTCAAGAACTCCTACATCAGCCTCCTG